CCCCTGGCGCCCCCCCTGCCGATAGCGGCCTGCCGGCTGCTGGGGCTGGCGAGGGAAGGGATCTGCCAGCTGGCACCCAGAGGGAGGGAGGGGGCTTCTGCTTAGGCTACGCCGGAGGGCACCTGTCATCCCAAAGTCAGGGTGTCACTGTGCCCTACAATTGGGCCTGTGTGTGTGTGACGAGGCCCTGCAGCTGGGACAGTGATGACAGCTCTGCTTGCCTCCTCCCCACCTGAGCCCTTGTTTGCCTGGGGCTTTGGAGTTGCACGGAGGAGCAGGGAGCCCGAGCTGGCAAGCCCCAAAGTACCCCCCACCTCTGCAGGGGGCAGCTCAGCTCACAAGTAGCCAAGAGCTGAGTGCAAGTAGCCCACCTCCATCCAGCCCTGGGGAGCTTCCAGAGGAGAGGGCAGCTTGGGGAGGCAGCTGGGGGGGGGTTGCTCCCTCCTGCCATCTCACCTCTGCTCCCTTCTGTGCTCTGAGCCGGGCTGGCTTGTCCCAGAGCTGGGTGGTGCCCCACTGTGGGGACACTGGCCCCATAGAGCTGGGCTGGCACAAAGGGCTCCCACACGGGGGATACTGAGATGCTGGGGGGGACAAGGTGCGGAAGGGCACTCCTATTCCAAATGCTGAGCACCCCTGCGGGCATCTGGGCTGCGATGGCCTTCTGGGGTGTCTGCAAGGGGCAGGATAGACATGCTGACAGCGAGTCCTGCTCTGAGCTGTGCAGTGAAAAGCCCCACCACCCGGTCCTCCACTGCCATTTCCATGGAAGGCTTTTCCCTCCAGCTGTAACTTGCACGGCCTCAAAGGAAGCAGGAGAAAACATCGACGCAGGGTCCCTTTCCAGGGTCCAGAGCTCCAGGTTGCTCTCCACTCCCACCCACTCCATGGTTAACTCCACCCTAGCCCCTCCCCAACCCACCTTTCTTAAAGAGCAGACCCCAGCTCTGCCACCAGCAGAAGAGACCTTGGCAAGGGGACAGCCGGGGCAGCAAACCATGACCAACATTAATCCACCCCATTGCAAAGTCTGCCAGGCCAAACCCAGCCTGGCCGGCTGCCTTCAGCCGCTGGCAAGGCACGGGGACGAGGAGTTTAAACTGCTCCAGCTGCTTGCATGGCAGAGGCACCCAGTGGTGCCCTGGGGAGGCCTTTGGGACACCATGGCCAGACCCGGGGCTCCCCTAGTTGAGCAGGAACATGGCTGCACTCACATCCCCGGGGCACAAGCTGGGATGAAGCTGTCCCGGCTCCCCATCCCAGCCTGGCACTAACACTCTCCTCCTCCCACCAACACCGGGGAGCAAGCACCGGCTTTTCCTCCACTTGAAAAATCCCTGGGATAACCACACAGCCCTGCTAACAGCATGCTGCTTGCTCTCACTTTGAAGAGCAGTGTCCCCTTACATCTCTCACATGGTGTGGCACCTGTGTTGGCATTAAGACCCGCCCCCTCCAAAGGAAGAGATGAGTTTTATAAAATCCTAGGGGATATGGACCTTCCCATCCCAATGGCAAGACCTGTACCTGGTGGTTCTCCTCCACCTGTGGCCCAGGCTGGACAAGCAATGTGCCTTGGGCTTGACTCCGCGTCTTGTCACCCCAGCCCAGGCCACAACGAGCAGAAGGAGGATGCGACCCCCCCCAAGTCACTTGCCCAGGCCACACATCCAACAGATTTCGGTTTATTCCCGGAGTGCACAGTGAGCAGGGTGAGGAAGCGGAGCTGCCGGGTGGGCAGCAGTGGTTATTGCTGCAGGCGCATCCTCCAGCGACGACGGGGGTCTGGGGGAAGCTGCCTGCCTGCCTCCACAGGGCAAAGGACGGGCTGTCGCCCCCCGCCAAGCTGGAGCCACCCCGTTACCCCAGAAGAAGGTGAGGGGAGTAGAGGAGCACAGAGAAGTGCAAATATGTTGGCACCAGAGCCCATCCACGCTGGGCGAAGGAGCCCAAGGGAAGAGGAGAGTGTAACAGTGTGGGAGGGTGAGGGAAAGGTGGGGAAACCCCCCCCACAACTGCGTGCAGAACAACACCCAAAACACCCACCCCCCCACCTCTGGGGGAAGGCATCGCCTCCGGTGTGCTGTTGCCCCCGCCCCCAACTCTGCTATAAATAGGGGCCGTGGATGCCCCAGGAGCTCCCAGGGGTGGGAGGGGAGGCCAAGCTACTCTGACAGCGGTGGCATTGCTGTGCCTACACGGAAGAGGGGAGTTTCTGCTGCACTACAGGGTGGCACGTGTTCACATGGTGGAGTAGCCCCCAAACATTCAGTGCTTAAGTGGCAGGGCTTGACCCAGTTGTGGGGCAAAGACAGAGGCATGGAGATGGGAGGGGATGTGTTGAAGGCCACGCAGAAAGAGCCAGTGGGCTCCATGCTTTGGTCGTGCTTAGTGGTGAGGAGTGCAGTGCAAGGGCTTCAAGAAGAAGAATATGGCCAATCCTCCTCCCAGAAGGCCACTCTGGCTCCCCAGGAACCTGCTGCCTCTGCCTGGGCAAGACAGAACCTTGCTGATGCTCCCAGGTGTGCGCAGAGACGGGCAGTGCGTGCCAGCGGGGATGGGTCAGCACTAGAGCAAGCGATAGGAGTCCCCCTTCTCTTCCCTCTGCAGCTCCTGCCTCTCCTGGCTCCACAGCCGGCCCCCAGCCTGCTCCTTCACTCCCCACAAGCTTGGTGCGGGGATGCACAGGTACCCCATGCTGCTTGCCCTCCTCTTGTTCTAGGGTGGGGAGAGGAGGGGGTGAGCGGAAAGAAGCCCACCCCAGAAGAGGAGAAGGGCATCCCCTGCCTGCCTTGACCCCTGGTCCACCGGAGAGGGTGGCCCAAGGCTTGCCGGGAGGCAGGGCTGGCGGCTCAGCGTGGGATGGAGCAAGGGGGGAAAAGTATCCTGTGTCCACAGATCCAAGGGGAGGCACTTGGAAGGGGCCTGGCCTGCCGAGGTGTCCCAGCTACAGCAGATCTGTCGTGGCTCTTAGCCACACATCGTCAGCAGCAGCCACTGGGAAGGAGAGGGAGAAGGAATGAGCAGGGGCTGGTGCATTTTTGACGTGCCCTCATGTGTCAACTTTGACAGCCCTCCAAGAAACACAGAGCCCGCAGCAACCCCGTTTTCTCATCTTCATCTTTTATGGGTTCCTTCCCTACCCAAGGAACTGAAGGGCTTTCTACCACCCACTCCAGGTGCCACATTCACCCTAATGCCTTGTCCCCTTGTCTCCCACCCTACCGCCCACTGGGCCGAGTGCTCACCTCGGAAATGTTCATGACAGCAGTGCCAGTGCCTTCGGGGTCCATGCTGCGGAAGAACCCTGCAGGGGCACAAGAGCAAGGTGAGCAACGCAACCCTCTGTCCCTGCCCTCCCTGCCCCAGAGCCACCACTCACTGAACATGGCCTCCAGCTTCACGAGGCAGCAGACAAAGTTGTCAAAGTCCACACCCATGTCAGCGTCTGCATAGCGGGCCACCACCACCTGATGCAGCTTGTTGTTCAGCTTGAAACCTGCAAGGCAGAGAGCAGTCAGCACCCCAGGGAGGCAGCAGAGGAGGATGTAACTATGAAAGTCCATGCCCCCACCTGAAGGGGCTACCAGCCCAGCCAAGGAAGGGCACTATGTCCAGCCTCAGCAGAAAGAGGGGATGCTCTCCCTGGAGCCATATGACTAGTTAGTTCACTAATCCACCCCAGGCTTCTGCTTCACCAGGATGGGACTCTGTAGGTCAGAGGAGGACAGAGGCTGGGACCACCTCGTGTGCGTCCCTAACTCCGAGGCTCCAGCACTTGGCACACTTGGCACAGTTGGGATGGAAAGAGCCCAGTGCAGACATGGGCCACATCTCAAGCAGTCAGCACCCCAGGGAGGCAGCAGAGGAGGATGTAACTATGAAAGTCCATGCCCCCACCTGAAGGGGCTACCAGCCCAGCCAAGGAAGGGCACTATGTCCAGCCTCAGCAGAAAGAGGGGATGCTCTCCCTGGAGCCATATGACTAGTTAGTTCACTAATCCACCCCAGGCTTCTGCTTCACCAGGATGGGACTCTGTAGGTCAGAGGAGGACAGAGGCTGGGACCACCTCGTGTGCGTCCCTAACTCCGAGGCTCCAGCACTTGGCACACTTGGCACAGTTGGGATGGAAAGAGCCCAGTGCAGACATGGGCCACATCTCACTACCACGACAGGTCAGCTCCAAGCACACAGTATAGGCTAGTTTTACTCTTCTCCAGCTACTTGGGACAGGGGACCGACAGCAGGAACCCCCTCCCCAGCCCCCAGCTCAGCCCTATCCTTCTCCAGACCTACCAGCTGACTCTAGAGCCATGCGCATCTCATAGGAGCTCATGGTGCCCGACTTATCCAGGTCGTGCTGACGGAAGATCGTCTGCAAAAATATCACAGAGGACGTGAACGGCAGGCTCTCCTGTGGCCTGCAGCCTGGCTGTCCCCTCACCCTGCTGCCCCAGGAGGGGTGCTACCCCTTTGCAGTGCACCATGCCCCTGCTCCTCCTCACCAGCCAGCTGCGGATCTTGTTCCACAGGATCTGGAACTCCACCAGCCCGAGGCGGGCACTGCCATCTTTCTGGGGAGCAGAGGGTCAAGGAGAAAGCAGCCAGCAAAGGGGGTGGTATAAACGCAAAGCCATCAGATCTCAGCCACCCGAGGCGAAAAAAGCCTGGCCCCACTTGGCCTGCCTAATTTTCCCCTCAACTCCCCCTCTTTGTCCTGCAGCATCAGTAAGATGAGAGCCTGTGACCCAGCGGGGAAAGTGCAATGCTTAAACTAGCTGCCGTGCCACTCCCTGGGAGCAGCTGTGCTGCTGCTGTAGGAAGCACATTGCTGTCATGTCCTTGGAGCAGAACTGGGTTGGCCTGCAACAAAAGGGGATGCTGCAGGGCCAGGCTGGAGAAGGGCTAGGAGGTGTTCCTCTACCCTCGGCCTGACCACTCAGCTGCATGTGCTTGCACAGGCAGGAACACAGGCCATGAGTCCTGTCGCTTTACACCTCTCATCCTTAGCTGCTGGACTGGATGGTTTGAGAGGAAAGAAGCTCAACAGCCCTCATTCCTTTCCAGGAGTGCCTCCAAGGCTGGGTGGCATCATGGCACACCAGGCTGGGGAGCCTGCGGGGAAGGGAAGCACAGGGCACTTCCTCCTGGAGAGGAAGGTTGAAGACGTGAGTGGGGCTGGGCTGGGCTTCTGGCAGTGGAGCCAGGACCTAAAGAAAGCAGGGGAAGTGATGGCCCTTTTCAAAAAACCCGCTGCTAAAGCCCAACTGTGTAGGGCAGGTGGCCCTGAGGCCACAAGGATCCCTTCCTTCCTTCTCTCCCCTGGTTGAACAGCCTTGGCATGGCCAGAGAGCCAAGACCCAGCTCCCACGGAGAAGCCGTGCTGCTGGCAGGCTAAGGACCAGGGAAGCTGGCCCCAGCCCACAGCGCCAAGAGGATACATCCATCAGGTTGACCATGTTGCGGCACGAGTCCAGGCTGAACCCATCCGTCTTCAGATCTTTGTCTGAGAAGGAAGGAGGGGGTTGAGCACATGCATCAAAAACCAACCTGCTGAGCAGCCCTGGGCCATGGGGAGCAAGGGGCGGGAAGCACAGTGCTTACGTCTAGCGATGACTCTGTTCAGAATAGTCCGGAGCTCAAAGACGCTGATTTCCATGTCCTACAGCAGGAGCAGAGTTAGCAGCACCCCTTGCCCACTCTCCACCCCACTTGCGGCCATTCCCCACCTCCTGCCTAAATATCTCCACCTTAGTCACAAAACATCAGGGTGCCATTGCATTTCCTGCACACCCAGAAGAGTTTGGGCCACAGCTGGATGCCCCTTCCCCAAATCTGCTCCCGTCACACCACCCCTGGGCTGAGCCGTGGCAGAGATGGACTTGTCTGCAAGATTGGACTGAACACGTATGGGGTGGGCTGGAGGTCTCATAGCCAGGGGTCCTGTCCCATCCCTTCCCCAGGCCAGGGCCCCCCAGAGCTCAGTGCAGCCGTACCCACCTCCCCTGCCAGTTGCTGGAACATGTTCTTGAAGCCGTCCTCTATGTCATCCTCAGTTATTTCCTCCTGGGGTGGCGCAGGCCAGAAAGAAGAGGATAGTGGTCAAACCTGGGCTCTGCTCTGCCTCCCAGGCTCAGCAAACCCAAAGGGTTCCCCAAGGGAAGCTCTTCTTTGTCATTCTCTTCTTTGTTACTTCCCACATCCCCATCACCTCAACCTTGCCAGCCCCTCTCCAGCCACAGTGACATCCCAAACCCAGGCAGCTACCTCCTGCCTGCAGCTCCCCCTCCCAAGCCCCAGAGCCTCCGCAACAACTGAACCAAAGTGGCAGCTCCTACCTCATCTGCCAGATCTGCCGAGATCTCCTCATCCAGCTCCCTGGGGGCAGAAAGAAGGAAACCAAAGTCATGAGCGGAGTCCCCAGCCAGCAGGCTGCCTGCGGTGGGAAAATGTCCCACCGCTCACAGACACAGGGGGTCCCCTGGCCCGGCCGGGGCTCAC